AATAATTTCTCCTAAACCTTCTTGTGCCAAAGACTTCCTTAGAAGGGATTCTCATAAACAGAGGAAGCTATGCCTGGAGCTCTGGATAAGCAGAGCTATGCAGAGCTTCCTCGTGACTTCTGAGAACGATGTTAATCTGAGTTGGTGTGCATTTGAAGAGCTATTAGAATTCCAGGGACACAAATGATTAGGCCGGTATATCCAAGTGGGTGTTTATCCCGTGGTGTTTTAGAGGAAGGAGAAGATGCTGCCTTTTCTTTACACTGCCTTTCTTTGGCGAAAGGACTGTGCCACTGAGTGTTTTGGAAATGTGTGTGGTTGTCTTGTAGAAGTTTGAAACGGTGGTTGGAGAAAGAGGGGCACAGCTGAGCGGAGGCCAGAAGCAAAGAGTAGCAATTGCCCGAGCTCTGGTTCGCAATCCTAAAATTCTTCTGCTTGATGAGGCAACATCAGCTTTGGATACTGAGAGTGAATCAGTTGTGCAGGCAGCACTGGACAAGGTCAGTAGTGTTCTAAAATGAAGCAGGTAAGCAGGAGCCTAATATTTACCTTTTTTCCAGACTTTTGTTGAAAGAGCTGCAAGAAATAAAGACCCTTAAAACATAAAAATAAAAATTTTATGGTTTTGTGTGCCACAGTGAAAGATTATCTCTAATAAAAAAATATAGTTTTGTTTTAAGCTACTCACTGAAATCTGTTTTTTAAATTTTTTGAACGTTATATTTTTCTGTGAACCATTTTAAAGTTTCCCTTAGGTCTTATTCAACTCTAACATGAACAATTTTTTAATATTCTTAGAAATACTCATATTAAATATTGTTATTTCTAGGCAAGGGAAGGACGCACCACAATTGTAGTAGCTCATCGCCTGTCAACAGTCCGAAATGCAGATCTTATAGCTGTGTTCGAAGGTGGAGTTGTCGCAGAACAAGGGAATCATTTTAAATTGCTTGAGAGAAAGGGAATCTATTACAAACTCGTTAACATGCAGGTACTTTTTTCTCCCTAGCTGTTGCCTCTTTTTATCTTTTGTGTTCCATGCCCATGGTTATTGTATGCTATCAGAAGTATGGGAAATTCTGCAGTCTATTTTGTTAACGGCAAAAAATACGTACTTTGAAATGAGAGCAGTAATTCGAGAGAGAAGACTGCTAGTTTTGATACCAGGCCTATTTAAACCCAGGATAGTACATTTTTAATCCTCTAGGGATTTATACTTAAAAGATTATTTTATGGGGTTTTTTTATGCAGTTAATGTAGAGCAGGTGACTATAGTAGTTTGCTATTCCACTGCTTGTTCTTAGCCTACAATAAAAAGTAAAATACACTAGCTGATACTGGAGGAAGAGAGCATATATATATTTTAAACTGTTTAGTTGAATTCTTGCTGAATTCCTTTCTAAAGAAAAAAAATGTTGAGGAATAGGAGAAAAAGAAAAATAATCCAGCTATGCTGAGTGCAAAAATATATACACTTTTAAAGTCATTTAGCCAGAAACAGAGACATTGGAAATTAATACAATTATCAGAAACATATTAGTTATTAAGTGAAGAACAAAACACTTTGGTACATTACAATGTCCCGTGCAATAGCCGAGCTTCACTGTAGCCTTCTGTGTCACCAGTGGTTTACTGAGTAACCACCACGCCCATTAAAGAAACTGACAGACTGAAAAGAGTAAACTAGGCCAATTAAAACATTTCTTCATGAAGTAACTGTGAGAATGCATTTGGTCACCTTAGATTTAAAGTAACTTTGTATTCAAGCAAGTGTGCTAATGGGAAAAATTAGGAAATATAAAATGGAAAGAAGATGGAAAAGAACAAAAAATTGAAAGAAAACAAAAAAATTTCTTTTTATTAGTAGTACAAATATCAGTAAGAAATAAAAAATTTTGGGGAAAAAAAGAAATACAAGATGAAGGCAACTTTGAATCCAGTCTCTATTAAATGCCTCAGTGGTGAGTAGGCATTTATTTATTCTGTCAAGGAGACTGGCAAAACTACCACCAAAAGTAGGGCTCTTTTACAGACTGTTCAGGTTTTTCAGTCAAGATCTCTTTTTGACCTGTTCCATCCTGATCTTCCTTATTACATTTAATGTCAAGAATTGTTAAGAGTGTTCTGCACTAAAGAGAGGTAATTTTTTCTCACTTCATGAATAAACAGTCTGTCCACTGAGAACTCATTCAGAAAGATCCCAAGATGAGTGCAAATGGTTTACACTTGATTTAAAACTCTGATAGGAGTTAATTCATAAAAAAAGAGCAGCTACTTCCACTCCCCTGACCTCCACTTAGTATTTTTTTGAGAGGTGGGATACTCTTATATGTGAATCAAGTTCTCGAGATAGAGCTGTACTCAAATGTAATACAGATTTTCATATCTGCTTTATAGCATTATGTATTGTTTTCCCCATATCTCTTTCCACTGAAACAAAGTTACTTTTACTTTGATTACCTCATAATTTTGAAAGTTCGAAGTAATATATGCATAATTAATCTTAGTATCATGTTCTTCCCTCTTAGGCAATAGAAGCTGAAGTTCCATCATCAGAAAAAGATGAGAATGCACTGAGTGTCAAAAAAAGTGAATCTGAGACCGAATTTGAAGAATCCTTAACAAAAGGATTGAGAAGACGATCAACTCGGAGAAGCATGAAAAAGCCAGGACTGCAAAATGATGATACTGATGAGAAAACTAGTTCACCTGTAAGTATCTGTGCAGAGCTGTTAGTGAACTTTGACTCCTTTCAACAAAGTATGTTAAAATTGTATTTATTCTCCTGCTCTAGAAAGGTACAAGAAGAAGGAGGCATTTGACAGGGGTGAAAAAACCATGAGAATTTTCTAATTCTAAGTCAGCTTTGACTGACAATATTCATACCTTGTTATTCTCACCATGAATGATTATACAAATAAAATAGGACCTTAAAAATCTATAACAAGGATGAGTTTATTCTTGAAAATCAGTTTCCTATAAAAGACATATACTTACATATATTTGCATACCATACCAACATAGTCTATACAGGTTAAAACATTCATTTTTGGATCAGGAACAGAACATCTGGCCCAACATACAACTCCTACAACAAACCTTACAAAAAACCCATACAACAAATATGACTGCATTCATATTTGCAGCAAATACTTTGCTGTTACAATTTGCTTAATGAACAATTACTTGAATTAATCTAGTCATGGATTACACACGACAATATGCCCGGAATGAATAGTTCAGTCACCATTGACCAATACCAAGAGTACTGATCAATGAAAATTATATAGATAAACTAAAATATGATGACAAGAGCTGTAGATGTATTCTAACAGCTCTTTCTTCCTTGTATTAAAATAATGAAAATAAATGTACAATCAGTTAATTATTCATGTTATTAAAAAGTATACATTTTGACTTCCCCTGAGTAGATTCTGGGAGTAGGAAATTGACTACTAATCTCTCTTTTTCTCCATATTTCTCCAAATACGTACATGTTTGTCCTAACAGAATTCCCATTTTTTAGGATGAAGAATTACCTCCAGCTTCATTTCTAAAAATTATGAAATTGAACAAAACTGAATGGCCATACTTTGTAGCTGGAACTTTATGCGCTATTATCAATGGAGCTTTACAACCTGCATTTTCAATCATATTTTCAGAAATTATAGGGGTAAGTTTGTATAAAATATGCAAAAAACTATAAAGCCCACAAAATTTATTTCTAATAAAAACAGGTCTTAAACAATCACTTCATAATGAAGCTGAGGAGCAGGTGAAGTGCTATTACAAAAATCTGAAGAATTATATGAGATTTACAAAATCCTAAAAATCTTGCTACAACCTGAAATTTGCTTGTTATACCTATAATCATATGTAACGTATGCTCAAATTTTATATGAATGCAAATGACTACCAAACATAGTTATTGAAAAATATTGAAGTATTTTAGATTATTAGTTGATTTTTAAAAAATGTTGTTTTAAATATTATTTTATAGATTTTTTCAGAAACTGACAAGACCATTTTGAGAGAAAAGAGCAACTTATATTCAGTGCTGTTTTTAGTACTTGGGATCATTTCCTTTTTTACTTTCTTTTTTCAGGTATGTTTTATTATCTTGGCTTTATTATAATTGTTCATCATGTTTTAAAAACCAGATCTGAAAGATATTAAAAATGCGTAGCTTCTTAATACATCTCCAACTCAAACCAGAACCTGCAATCATGGTTCTAGATGTGCCTTGTGCTGAATTGAATGGGTTTTGACCTAGAGCTTCTCATGTGTTAAAGTCCCTCCAACCTATTCTGACATTTTAACTTCAGAACTTCCCCGCTCCTTCAGCAGTCTAACACATCTCAGCATGAAACTGGATTCTCTCACTCTTTTTTCCATTGCCACCTAATGGCCAACACCAGCCTTTACACTATACCACTCCTTTCTCACCCTCAAGCCCTCCTATTTGAATCTGTCAGTAATTGCAAATCTACCAATCTCCTGCCTTAGCTGTCCAAGTTTTTACTCCCCTAATCCCTTCCCCATTCAAGTTTTATCTTATGTGAGTCCCTGCAAAGATTCCGAGGCCCAGTTCCTCAGGTAACACCCATCATGCTGATATTCAGCTCCTCCTGCTTAAATACTAATGGCTGAACAGTAATACCCCATCCCCTGTTCTCAGTGATCTCTATAGCCATCTCCACTTTTACAAAAAAAGTATTTTAACTTTACCTTAATTCTTATATGTATCTAACTGCTGCAGCAGTGCCACAGTAAAAAAAAAAAAAAAAAAAAAAAAAAGGTAATAATCATACAGGTGCAAACTTCAGCATTTAAATATTTTCATATAGAGTCTGGTTTATAATTTCTGAATATGTTTGTATAGTTTTATCCATTAAGTGAGCTTACACAGTGAAATAATAAAGTGCACTTGGGACAGCAGCATAAACAGTCTCTTGCAAAAACCTCCTGGTTTATTTATGGAATTGTCTTGTTGCACATGCATGCAAGAAGGCCTTGAGTGTAGAAGACTGAGTTGTAGATGGCTATAACAGGTTTGATCAATTTATAAATGTTCAGATAATGTTTTAAATATGAGTGGGAAGAGTTCATTGAGACGTAACACCCCCAAATTATTGAGAATGAAAAGGATCTAAAACATTCTTATAATGTCTTTATATAGTGCCCATTCTCTGATGTTCTTTTGTGATTTTTTCTGAGTCACATACTCGTGCAAATTTACTGAGAGTATAGGAGCACAGGAAAGATAATGATCAAAGTTAACTGAGAAATATTTGTTGATTGGAATATGCCATAACAATTTTTCTTCATATCACATAGTACAGTTGCATCTGTGGTTTGTATTTTAAGAGTATTCAATTTCACAAATGTAGATTCCAAACAATTAACATTTGTAATCACATAAAGGTGGTAGTGAGCTAAACAAAGCTAATTATAAACACTGATCTCATACTAAAATGTAGGAAGAGTGTATCTATCTTCCCAAAATTATAACCAGCACATTCCTTTTCGTATCTTGTTAAACTGATTCATATATCTGCCTAAAAATACGTTCAATTAATTATAAAACATCACTTATGTATTACTGCTGATAGCCATGTCACTTTGTGTTAGGATCCCAGGGAAGCAATCTTAATTCCCTTGGAGTCAAAGGGAAATTTGCGTTTGACTTCAATGAACCCAGACTGCCTTATGAAGAATTTAGCTTGAAACGAGTGGCCTAAAAGCCACTTGTTTAAATCTGACTTAGCTCAACTCAGATAAAAATTAAGTCAAAGGGTTGATTAGTGATCTTTTCATTGAAGCATGCTGGTGAAGCAGTGCTGGGAAACAGCTATGCTTTATATATATTTCTGAAAAACAGTATTTGAATGTCTGTACTGTGAACCTACTAGAATTTATGAATATTAAACCTGGTTTTGCATTTGCTTTGTGCAGTCAGGACTGCAATATTTTGTACTTTGACATTGTAGAGACAATGTATCTAAAATATTTATTGAATAAACACAAAAACCATAATCATATGCTAAGCATTGTACATTCTCTCAAACAGGGTTTCACATTTGGCAAAGCTGGAGAAATTCTTACAATGAGGCTTCGATTCATGGCATTTAAAGCAATGCTTAGACAGGTAAATATAATAAATATTTTGATTTCCAGGGTTTTAAAAAGAATTAATTGCATAGATATAACAAAATAACTGTATTCTACATTATTCTATCATATTATGACTTGTCTACAGAGAATATTCTTTAAATCAGTCTAGAAACCAATCTTCTCAGTTACATATGGTTAAGCAAAGTATTCTTAGAGGGAGAATCTTAAATCAATACAGGTACAAGAGCTTTTTATGTACTCCTTGCAAGGACTTAGATTTACAGCCAAGTTACTACGGCCTGACAAGTTGATGTGCACCAGCAGCATCTCATTACCTGTTCATTCACCTACTTTGCTTTCTTGGCGCAATTTCTCCCCTAAAGAAATGCAATGCAGTGCAGCTTACATTGTAACTCTCACTTCGAATGTCTGATCATCCACAGCCATATACTTTTTTCTAAAAATATTCATTTTGCAATGAAGGAATTAGACTTAATTAAACATGCAGAACCGATGCATTGCCACATACATGCTCTTCTGACACTGAACTCAGTTATATTAGATAGACCTCAGTTTACCTTTGCAGATTATATGAAATGTCCAAAAACTGTCCTAAGAAAAATGTTTCTTATTGTAGGACATGGGCTGGTTTGATAATTCTAAAAATAGCACTGGAGCATTAACTACAAGACTTGCTAATGATGCCTCACAAGTGAAAGGAGTAAGTAAAATTTTGGTGTGGAATTTTTCATATTTGGTTTAGTGTGTAGTAAAGTTACAGCTTGGATTTGACTGGTTGGATAACAGCCTTGACTTTGATAACTAGAATTTACTATAAAATGATAGCTGGTATAGAATGCACTGATGTGTTTTATAACAATGATGGTAATATATGTTTACAAAATAATTTCCAAGTAAACCTTTTTTAAAGTTTACTACTGTCCTGTATTATGATCTTCATTATTAAACAAATTCATTGGGAATCTCTTTATCTAAGAAGTCTGTTTAGAGATATCTTATTTACCTGAATATATGCAACTAAATTTGTTCAGTTTATGACCTCCTACTATTTTTTTGATAGTACAGATTCCTTATATGAAAAAAAAAATTAGACATAGTAGCAATAGACTTGGTTTGCCTTGTTACTTTTTGGAGATTCTTCAGCAGTCATTTGTGGACTTTCAGGTGTCTGTAATATTAAGCTAAAGAGTACTGAATGTAATTATTCATGTATGCTTAAGTAAATTTTTACTGCAGAATGAAGTTATGTGCTTTTTTCTGAACTGAGGAATTATGTAGTATCTTTGGCTTTATAAGTTAAACATTTAATTTTCTTCATTGGACTCCGTGTGATGACTTATGAAGCTAGCTGCATGATCTACAAAGTATGACAGTTTTTAATGTTTAGCTGTAAATGTATATACGCGATGTGCTTAATGTCTGTTCAGCTTCAAGAGCATAACTGAGAAATTGCAGTGCAAATTTAAGTAATCAGAATATGGGGAGAGAAGAATGAAATGTGGTCTAGATAATATTTTAGAAAATCACTTAAGGAACTCCCATTTTGAAAAATAGCAAAAGTGAGTTAAGACTTTCTAAACAGTGTTTTGAGAATCAGGAATATTATAGGTGAAAATGCTTTCCTTATTTAAGATGCAGTTTCTTCAGCAAGAAATGTCTTTTTTCTTCCTCCAGGCGACTGGTGTCAGACTGGCATTAATTGCCCAAAACATAGCTAACCTGGGGACTGGAATTATTATATCATTAATTTATGGCTGGCAGCTGACCCTGCTACTTTTAGCTGTTGTGCCAATCATTGCAGTGGCAGGAATGATTGAAATGAAGATGTTGGCTGGGCATGCTAAAAAAGATAAAAAAGAGCTGGAAGCTGCAGGAAAGGTGAGTCTAGAGAATTTTATATCTGTTTCTGTGTAATGTATAAAGTCATGTTTACCAAAGCATTGTTGATGGATGAATTGCTTCCAAATATAGAACATATAATATTTCACTTCCAGAGACAGCCAGACTCTATGTAGTTACACTAGTAGACATACAGAGCATAACACCTCTTCAATAATAACTGAAGACTTAGGTTATTAACTGATATTTATTTTAATAACTGATAAACCCCAGAATGTGCTAAGCACTATTCAGGCACATTTTTTTATCCTCTTCTGATCATCTCTATTTTCCTTATTTTGCAACCTTCTTCATTTTGACATTCTCTTTTTTCTTTTTGGTCATCCCTTTTTAGCATGTGATCTGTCTTACATATATTATACTGCTCTTTTTTTTCCTCTTTCATCTTATTAGTGTTTGCAGGGATAATATATATATATCCACTGGTTTCTGAGTCTATTTGCCATTCCTTTATTTCTTGAATGGAAAAGAAAGGCGAGAACTGAAAAACAAGAAGGCTAGATTCTTGTTTAAGAAATTAGACTAAGGCATTTAATGTCACTTCATTCCAAAAATCCTTTTGGGACAGAACAATTATTTCACCACTTCTACCCCATGGCCAATTCTGGTTATTCAGATGAAAATTTCACTCATTCTTGAGTCTTTTGTCTAGATATACTTTCGTTTGGTTATATTTTCCTTACTTTATGGTCTTTCTTAAACTAAAAGCATGAAGTATGAAATGTATGTTTCAGCAAAATATCTTAAAGCCTTGAGGGTCTTTTGTAGACAAGGTCTACAAAAGTCTAGCTACATTACTGTATACTTTCTTGTACATACAGTTTGCTGAGTTATAAACAGACTTATTACTGTGCATTTGTACAGTATCTATGCTCAGAAGTGAATTCTCCTGCTAAATACCCATCCTTAGAAATGAGACTGGTTGGCCACTGAATAGAGCCTAGATATAGGTGTTCAACACTATTTGAGATGCATTAGGAAATTGAAAACATCCATCTCTATAGGACTGTCAGGTATAATACAGTACATGTGGGAATCCCTGCCCTCCCAGAGCAACAGCAGCTGAGGCCAAGTGGAATACCCCACATATCACAAATTGCACCAGAGGCAATGTGGAGATCATGGACTCAGGCCCGGTGTTTCAACCAGCGGTGAACAGAGGGATTCAGCACTAGTCCTAGTGTCTAAAGAGGTGTGATTTTTCCAGGTGTCTTCTGTTGGCAGTTTCTAAGCATCGTCCTCTTCTACATGCATATGGACTGAAGCAACCATACAGGCTGCTAGCATCACTGTGTGGTCATTGAGGAAGACTTTATGGGCAGCTATAGACTTAAGAGCCCTTATATAAAAGCCCTGAATCAGTCACTCCCACATAGGCATGTATCTGCTGCCTTCAAATGTCCCTAGGTACCTTTGTGTGTGCAAATGACTCATGTCTAAAGAATCTGCAAGCTTAAAGAAGGTATTATTGATCAGATCAAATATTTACTGCTGAGATCTAAGTTAGGCTCTAGGCACGTAAGTAACCCGGACATTCTGATTATAAACGCAAACTCAGGGGACTGGAAGTTGAATGCTAAACTGCCCTTTCTCTTATTGAGTATCTTCTCCATAATTGTCACTGCTGTCTGATGGTTTTTTACCACTTATTTAGAGGACATTAAAGAGGTCTTAACAGAAAATTCCGAGAATCATCAGAAAATCTCACTGTCATAAAAAGAAAAATGTAAAATGCTTACTTTTGATATCAAAGGTCCGTGATTGTAATAATTATAAAAACTTACAAATTACATTCCAGCAGACTGTGTTTATTCATTTAAAACAAGGAATTGCAAAAAAATCTTAACTTTTGATTAAAACATTCATGTTTCTATTGCAGATTGCCACAGAAGCCATAGAAAATATTAGAACGGTTGTTAGTTTGACCCGAGAAAGAAAATTTGAGTTGATGTACGGAGAACATTTGCTTGTACCATACAGGTATAATAAAAATAACTAAGCTAAAAAAAAAACTGTGTTTAAATTATAGAATTAATTACAAGCATTTGCTTGGACTAACATTGATTTTTCTTGTTAGCATGCATGAACTAATGTATAATATAATTTCCACAGAATTAATGTAAATATTTTGCATATTTTTTATTAACAAATGCAACCACCAGTCAACATTTTTATTCTTTGATTTAATTAATTTTCTGTGATAATACTGATTGCAATATCTTCTATTGCAATGTCACTTGGTTTGCAAAAATGTTAGTTTTACGTGAGCTTCGGAAGTCATTTAATCTAACCTCCCACCTGAAGTGTTCCAGATATTTAATTAAAAACTTTTTAATGTAAGTTGAATATTGAATTAAGCCATTTTTGAAAGTATGAGTAGGGTTGCAAACATTTTAATAATTACTTATTGGTTTGTGACTGAAAAAAAGAGGACTAGAAATCTGCCTGGACTAAATCAAAATTAGGAAGTCTTAAAGTGAAAAACTAAAAAGATACTGTCAATTAAAGTTTTATTTGTTCTAGAACAAAATGTTTCATTTTCAGACATCCATGAGAAAAGTAAAGGAAATGACAGCATATGTAGACAGATATGATGGGAGACAGGTGGGGGTGCTGCTATTAGATCCACCATAATAATTGAGTGGTTAGAGCACAGCGCAGGATGTAAAAGATATTACTTCATCTTTTTTCTCAGGCTGATAGGTTTTGAGTCCATATCTCACAACTTGCAGGACAGTGCCTAACCATGCTCAGGGCTGACATTGATGGGATTGCTCCGAGACCTTCATCTTAATGTTGTTCTAGTATAAATAAGAATTTATTGCCCTATGAGTCGGTTTGTCTGGAAGAGATAGGACATGTGTTTTTCAGTTAATGTTTCAGTGCATGCTAAATGACTAATTAGGCAAAGAGTTTCTATTTTATACAAGTTGAGCTTAAGCCTTCTGTTAAACTGGATTAATGCACAAATCAGCTATGTAGAAGAGAAATCACAACAGCCTAGTAATCAAAAAAAAAAAAAAGCACACTTGTGAATCTGTTTGTTTTGCTTTTTTTCCAGAAGGAACCATAGAGTTGTGACTTAATAATAGCATCAATAAAATTAAAATGTTTTATTTCTTTTTTCTGGTGTCATTCACAGTTACAGAAAATTTTCTCTCTGCCTTGCTTTTAGTTATAGGCATAGTTTTATCATCCAAAATCAAATTTCTGCATCATACATGCAGGCTTAATCTTATTTGAGAGAGGAATTTTGACTGATTAAATTGAAAAGAAACAGATTCTTGAGTGTATGATATTGAACTGTTTAATATCTTTGTTATTTGGTTAACATAAAATTGCAAGTAAAGAAAAAATGACACAAAAACTTGGCTTTGTCTGAAGGTGAGCTAACAGTTTTGCTCTTTTTTCTTATGTGATGCAGTAGTACAATTTCAAATGTGTTATTTACATCTTCAAAGTGGTAATCATGGACTGAACTGTAAAGTGTTTTAACACTCAAACTATGAGATGGTAAGATGGTAATAATTATACATAGCAGCTAAGGTGTCAATTTTTTCTGCACCCATATTCCAAGCTGTTCTTGGAAGTAAATAAAATTCTGGAAACAAAACTAACTTTCTCTTGGACACAGTCTAATAGGAGACAAGGGATTGTGTTGTTTAAGCATGAGTACATTTCCTATCCATAACAGTATTATCTGAAGTCAATTAATTGTTTTTTGCATACTAGGATGATTGCACATTTTTGTGAAAATATGCATTTGTTCTTGCAGAAATTCTGTGAAGAAGGCACATATATTTGGATTTTGTTTTGCCCTTTCACAAGCAATTATGTTCTTTACCTATGCTGGCTGTTTCCGGTTTGGTGCCTATTTAGTGGTAAATGGACACATGGAGTATAAAAGCGTGTTTTTGTAAGTATCTCTTTTACAATCTTTTTTATGTCAGTCCACACAAAAGTCTTTGTTTACTGCTAGAGATATCATGAATCCATTGGGTAAGCTATGAGGAAACAGGCAAATTCTTCTTCTGTACTTAAATATAAAGAAAGCATATTACAAAGTGGAGGCTCTAGATGAGTACAAAGTCCGAGCTGTTCAGATAGGCCTGATTTTGGATTTCCTTTTCTGTATTTATTTAGTACTATTATGTTTTCCAGAGGTTGAAAGAGTATCCTACTTATATCACTTTCTCACCAGTCTTATTTGTCATGTATGTTGTGGTTTAACCTGTCAGGCAGCTGAACACCATGCAGCCGCTCGCTTACTCCTCTCAGTGGGATGGGGGAGAGAATCAGAAAAAAAGTAAAACACGTGGGTTGAAATAAAAGACAATTTAATAAAACAGCAGAGGAAAAGAATAACAATATCAGTAGAATATACAAAATATACCAGACAAGTGATGCACAATGTAGTTTCTCACCACCTGCTGACTGATGCCCAGCCTGGGCCCAAGCACTGATCACTGCCTCCCAGACAACTCCCCTCAGTTTATATACTGAGCATGACGTCCTATGGTCTGGAATAGCCCTGTGGCCAGTTGGGGTCAGCTGTCCTGGCTGTGCCCCCTCCCAGCTTCTTGTGCCCCTGGCAGAGCAGGGGAAGCTGAAAAAGTCCTTGACTACTATAAACACCACTTAGCAACAACTAGAACGTCAATGTGTTATCAACATTTTTCTCATACTAGATCAAAAACACAGCACTATGCCAGCTACTAGGAAGAAAATTAACTCTGTCCCAGCCGAAACCAGGACAGTGTAGCTGTGAGGTGCTCTATACATTCTACAAAAAACATAGTTGTGCTTGTTTATTGAAGTGTAATAATATTGTAAAAATCTTTTTAATGGTAGGTCACCAGCATCTTTGTTATTTCTATGTCAGGTTTATTCATTGAAATTTGAAATCTTCTCTAAAGTACATGTTAAAAATTGGAGGACAGGATTCCATAATGTATATGCTGTTCACTGTAAGTGAAGGATAACTAAATTATTTTAGATGACAATTTGATAAGAAGCTTGTTCACTTGAACCAATTTTGTTTGGGAAATGAAAGTATGAACCATGAATGTAAGAACAGTATGTAGAGCACTAGAGATACCCATAGTCAGGTGGAGCATTTTATTTTTAATTTAGACAGGTACTGCAGATAAAATGTTATTCTAATTTGCAGTATTCTCAGAAGATGTATCCATTGCAATCTGAAATTATGCAGGAATAGTACAATTATTTGTCTCTAAGGGTACTTTATAGGCTTTTAAGGGCAGAAACTGTACAAAAATTAAAGGAATTATTTTGAAATTAGAAATATTCCTTAGCTTCTTACTTTGATATTTTGGGTTTATAATCACTTTTTATCCAATCATTTGGAATAATACCTAAAAGCCCCTATCATAACCCAAGTCCCATTCTTCTAGATCATATATAAACTCAGAAAAAATATAATTTATAATTTAAGAGGCAACAGCTCAATACAGGCCTATGGAAACAAGTATGAAAAGAATGAGATTCTACCAGTATGGGTATCAGTGACCTCAATACCTAAGAAAAGGTCAATCATAACAATTTTTTGTTGGCAACCTGATTAAAGACAGTTAACACAGCTCATTTTGATTGGAAGATGTTGGAAAGTGTCTGCATCCCAGCTGCTAGCTGAACATCTCTAGCCTGCCAGGGGAGTGACCTTCCGGTGTCTCAGTTCCAGATTTGGAAGGAATTGTGTGACCTAAAGCTGTGTGAGCCCTTCTAGGCTGTTCAAATGCAGAGTAAAACAGATTAGTTTATATAGCTCTGAAGTTAAAAGATAAAATTTAATATAAATGAATTTATTTTACTTTGCCTTAAAACAGGCTAAGAGGTTTTATATGTCAATTGTCATTTCTCTGTGATGAGTAATCCTATGTTGTGTGGCAGTAATTAATAGCTGAGGACAGCACATTCTTAAACTATTCTAATGTAGCCTGTAAAGATAGATCTAGACTCACCATAAACCAATAATAGCGTAGTTTTCCACCTTTCTTCAGTGTTGTGAACCCTTCAATTTTTTTCCAGCAGAGCTGTGATAGCAAATTAAATCATTATTGCTACCTTGTTACAGGCTTGATTTCTTCTTTTCACTGATGCTTTAAAAATGAATCACTGACTCCCTGAGGTCATTGAACCATAGAGAGGAAACCACAGCAATAGTAGAACAGGATTAGAGTAATGATTTTACCATCCATTGACCACTTTTCTCCTAGCCCCAGTTGAGACTTAATATAGTTAACCAGTATTAATAATTAAAGAAATTGGTGTTAATAAGTAATGAAAACATTGAATTTGGAATGGAAGCTTGTTTACCTCACTTCATTAGAAGAGGATAAAAACAAATTTCTGGAGCTAAATGAGTAAGTAAAGCAATAATAGTTGGTTATTATTTTATTATTTTTAAACTTAGTCCCCCTTTTTTTCTCTGTGTAAAAGAAAAAGTTGACTGCAGCCCCATTTCCATTGTCTTTTTCTTCATTGTCTATTTATTAATTTTTTTTCCTGATTTCTTTTATAGAGTGTTTTCAGCTGTTGTATTTGGTGCAATGGTATTGGGACAAAGCAGCTCTTTTGCTCCAGACTATGCCAAAGCCAAGATATCAGCAGCCCATTTGTTTCTGTTGTTTGAAAGAGTACCCTCAATAGATAGTTACAGCGAGGAAGGAGAGAAGCCTGTAAGTAAGCCCTGTGTAATGGGCGATATTATTTACTGGCAATGTGGACAGTACTCTTCTCACTTCCTTGAAACTGATTTTTCCTCTCTCTGTGATTACTTCCTTATCTCAGTGTAGTCTCAACACTTTATCCAAACACAATACGGACCAAGTTCTTTATTGTGAGTCCAGCTTTTGGCCACGTTGTCTAAAGGTTATTTGTTTGGAAAATCTGGTTAAGGTAAAACTTGTGTGGAATTTAACCAGCAGAATTACAAGCATTTTCAAAATAGTTGAGTGCTGTACTTAGATTTTATAGCTTCACAAAGGTTCAGACCACAGAGTTAAAGTCAGAATTCCAGCAAATGCAAAACCCTGTTGATTTCAGTGGGGAAATAAAAAAATACTTCTGCAATTCTATGTACATCATCTATCAAATTATCTTAAATATGTAACAGTGATGCTATTTCAATTACAGGAAACATTTGGGGGAAACATTACGATCAAAAATGTGGCATTTAACTACCCAAACCGACCAGAGGACAAAATCCTCCAAGGTTTCAATCTAAAAGTAGAAAAGGGACAAACTCTGGCTCTTGTTGGTAGCAGTGGCTGTGGAAAGAGCACTGTTGTTCAGCTGCTTGAGAGATTTTATGATCCACTTGATGGAGAAATGGTAAGTATTTTTGTAAGACCATGTCAACATGCTAAGCGAGGGTGTGCTTATTTGGTTTTATGTGATATGATAAAGCATAATAGATGTTTCTAATTTTATTTTTTAAATACTTTTATTCTTAAAGACCAAGCAGTAGCTCATCATTCCTTATGTAAATGCAATGAATAGTATAATGGAAAAAGTCACGGTTTCCCACATTATAATGAATTAATGAAACAAGATCTGTGTGGTAAAAATATGCTGATCCACAGCCTAATGAATTCAGAGCAAATTTCCTGAGGTTTTTGTGTTAAGAACACATTGAAGTTATGAAATATACATATCTACTTCTGTATAATGTAGTAATAGAATTTGCCATCTATGTTTTCCTAAAACAGTGAACACTGAAAAAAATAATTTTTATTATAATTTTTACTTGTCAGAGACATCTTTTAGAGTATCTTTCTGTTCCTTCAGTGGGAATATATATGCAAAATAGAGGAATTTTTTCCCACCAAAGAAAGAAATGAAAGAACTTTACCCAAAGTTCTTTGAAGTTGCCTCAGCATAACTTGTCGTCCACTGTCTTCCAAATATTGATGAAATCTTGAAGCAAAGAAAAGGACTGAGGCAGCAGAAGGGACTGTCCTCGCTTTTATATAATAGCCCTTAGAAAATTTTGAAACACACTGAAGAAGGAGGGGATGGGATTATGTGAAATTTCAATATGGTATCTCTAAGGATAAAAGAGCTGCAACTGCACAACTTCTGTCTGTGAATTTACAGTAAGTCTCAAATACACATATAGCCATGTGTGTGAAATCTAAAATGTTTGGTTTCTCAGCTTTTTGATGGCAAAAATGCAAAGACACTAAATATCCAGTGGCTGAGAGCTCAGATTGGTATCGTCTCACAAGAACCAATGCTGTTTGACTGCACTATTGCTGAAAACATCGCGTATGGAGATAACAGTCGGCAGGTGTCACATGAGGAAATTGTTAATGCAGCAAAAGAAGCCAATATTCATTCCTTCATTGACTCTCTGCCAGACGTAAGTTATTTCTTTTCTCTCCCACTCAGAACTGAAGGTAACCTACTGTGGCAGTGAAAAATTGTGTCCATTTATGATTCCCTGGGGTACAATAATTAATTTCTGAATTGTGCTTACCATACTTATTTTTACTCTGGGAGACTCCATTGCCAGGTGGAGAGCTGAACATTTAAGATATCAGGGAAGAAAATCCACAACTATAACTAATCGAGAGCTGGAAGTGTGGGGTGGGCTTTTTTGAGTTAAACATTCTTTTTAAGCTCCTATTTATCTCAAGCATATGTAAAAGACTCTGCTAGACTGACAAGTTTCTTACGCATGTCTTCCAGTTATACCTAGTCAGAAATTAATTTTCTAGTATTCCTACAGTTCAAAAATTACTAAGAAAGCTTTTCATATATATATCTGACCAACACATAATAATGCAAGAATGAACATCTTGGGTCAGATGAAAGGTCTGCCACGCGCAAAATCTTGTCCCAGGCCCTGACCAGCAAGACGTATTTACAAATAAGTGTTCAAAAAGGCTAAACATTTAATCAGTTTCCCCTGAATTCTCATCTAACTGCATAATTTGTGACTCAGGAACTTCCTAAGATAGAAATCATAGAATCGTTTAGGTTGGAAAAGACCTTTCAGATCATCAAGTCCAACCATTACCTTAACCCTGCCATCCCACCACTAAACCATATCCCTAGGCACCTCATCTACCCGTCTTTTAAATACCTCCAGGGATGGGGACTCCACCACTTCCCTGGGCGGCCTGTTCCGATGCTTGACAACCCTTTCAGTGAAGACATCTTTTCTAATATCCAATCTAAACCTCCCCTGGGGCAACTTTATTATTTAATAGTTGTGGATGGATTTTTCTTCTGTTTGACAAATCAATTTCTAATCTATGTCAACTTGTATCCAAAACTTCCTGAAGCAAGGAAGTTGCCAGCTTCGTTCTATGTTGTATATATTCAGATTAATTTCAGGCTTTTAAGCTGCTTTTTGCATTTCTTGAAAAAATGTAAAGACCAAAGCTGCGATTTTTCCAGACCATGTTTGATTTCTAATGACTTGTCAAGATCTGCTCTTTCCAAAACTTTGTAGAGAAATCTTATGATATATAATGATGTCTCATAAAACTTTGGTGCTTTTTGCAACGAAATATATAATACCTCAAAGACTACTGTGGCCTACGCATCAGTTTGGCCAGACACCTGACTGGTCCACCTTAACTGACATAACTAAATTAAAAGCATAACTGTTCAAAACTGTAGTATAGATATAGATAAAGTGTGTAATTGGCTATATATAGATATAGTATATAGTTTGGCCTGAAACTGATACATCTTATACATTGCTATTTTTTTCTTCAGGAAAAAAAATGTGGGTAGAATAACTGATTCATTAGGATGCTAGCTTGAAGTGTTTAAGGTCAGGGTTTGATACCCAATATTGTCAGAGACTTTCACTGAGCTGGTATTCTGTCTCCTGATTGAGAATAATGTGGCCTTCAAACCTTAGAGGGGTTGTTGCTTTGAATTTATTAAATGCTGGATGCTACAAAGAAGCCCCCTAGTGAAAGATCTATAGATCTGTAGCAGATAGCAGCTCTGGTTCTCTGTTTTCAGAGATCTATCAGCGTGGAACATGCAGTTTATGGATGGCTGTTGTCAGGGTCAATATGCTTAAATATACTTCAGAATCAATTTGCATTCATAATCTGCACTTAATATATTGTTTCTAGAAATACAATACCCGCGTAGGAGACAAGGGAACTCAGCTTTCTGGTGGTCAGAAACAACGTATTGCTATTGCCCGAGCTCTTGTACGTCAGCCCCAAATTCTGCTGCTGGATGAAGCTACATCTGCCTTAGATACGGAAAGTGAAAAGGTAACTTGGTTGTGAGCCAGGAGTCCGGAATCAAAATCTGTGTTTATTCCTGTTAAGATTATTGTTTTCACTCCCACAGATTAAAGCCCAAAGCTGGAAATATGGTGTTTTATGCAAATTACATGTTTATGTTAATAACAGACAAATATATTCTTGTTCTCCTACCATGCATCTCAGTAACAAGCCTGGTTCCGCCTCATCTTTTTAGCTATCACGGCATCATGTGCTATGACAGCTTGGACTCCTTACCAACACAGGCTAATTCTAAAACAGGAGGCTAAAGCCACAGATATTCCCTTTCCCTCACCGTCACATTACAGTTTATTTCACAGATGGCAATTGAGGTATATCTTACAACAATTGCCAGAATAGTTCACCTTTTGGTTTGTTCATTGTGCAGATTGTTCAGGAAGCGCTGGATAAAGCCAGAGAAGGTCGCACCTGCATCGTGATAGCTCACCGCCTCTCCACCATCCAAAATGCTGACAAGATTGCCGTGGTCCAGAACGGCAAGGTTGTAGAACAAGGAACCCATCAGCAGCTCCTGGCTGAAAAAGGCATCTACTATTCTCTGGTCAATGTTCAAAGTGGGTCATGCAACATGTAAATTAAAGGCAGTACTTATCTCTGAATTGTCACTGTAATTATTTCAATACTGCTATTTTTGTCACTGTAATTATTTCAGTATCAATAGTCAATTTTGATACTTTTGGTTTTCCTCTTTCCTTTCATAAGTCTTATGAAAACAAGAAATACTAAGTAAATATGTACCAGTTTCTCCCTACTAGTTTGCATTATTCAATCCGCTCTACTATGTGGCCAAAGCAGAGGCCTACTGCATTTCATGAAAGCGGAAGCATGCTAAGCCAAATGTAATGAATATTAGCTTGCTTTGAACTCTGTCAAAATCACACTAATCAGGCATGCCTGATAAACAACCTGTAAACATTTTCATGCTCAGTAAAAATAGTTTTGCTATTGCCAGAAACAAACCTCAAGCCTTATCCTCACCGTGCCTGTATAAGGCACGCTCAGTCGTGGCATATTAGGCTTGTTACCAACTTGTTATGAGAACTTGAAGGTCACCTGGAGCTTGATGCCAGATGTCTCTTGTTATGATGTGGACTTTCAGCCTGGGATGCCAGCAAAGGCCTTGAAAATACAGTTGCAGGCTGAAAACAAAGGTCTCAGAACTGTAAGTATTTTATTGATGGTCAGTTACTGATCATTGAAGAGGTGCAACCCTAAGAGCTGGGAAAAGACTGCTTTAAATATAACACAGAAAAGAAGCAGCAGATAAGAAAAAACCCACAACTGATGGGCAAGGCAAGGCACCTGCTGCATGGTGGGAAAGTAGTATCTGCAACTCTCCCCAAGTCCTGAGGGACTGAGGTCAAGGGCTAAGAACTCTCTAAAGACTGCAATATTTTATAAAAGGTGAAAA